CCAGATTCAAAGAAGTCAAGAGCATACATGACGGCGAAAATCATTTAATATTAATAAAATTTGGAACTTTCGAAAAAATATTTATTTGAAATTGAAATCGAAAATAATCTAATTTGAAATTCTAATAGCAATTCAAAACTCAAAGTCTAATTCAAAAATAAAAATCATTCAGTCCCTTTGATTAATGTTTTTTTTTTCTTTTGATTATTATTAGACAAACTCCCTGTTCCAAGAATTAGAAGTCGTCAAAGAACCTGTTTCATCCAAACAATTTGTCAAGAGGTCTTCCAGCACTCTTAGAATTTGGTAAATAAAGAGCTTCGAGAATCAAAATTGCATGACATAATTTAGAAGCAATATTTTTTTTTAATTTAGAATTTCAAATTTCGATTTTGGACTTGCTGGAATTCGAAATTTTGGATGCTAATACTAATATGTGTGGATTTTTAGAATTGAACCCTTTTTTGATACTCCCTTAAAATACCCATTAAGCTAAAAAAACCATCATACATTTTTAAATATGGGCGTCAAAATAGTATAGCAAGGAACATTGACGCGGTTTAACCAAATTTGGAAATTATCTGCATATTTTCGCAATAAATAAATAAATAACCAATTGTATATATGGCACAGTCAAAATAATATTAATGGCTTATATGTATTAGTAATAACAACACGCTTCCAATTGTTGAATTGGATTTTATTGTAGGATATTGCATGGATGTCCTACTGAAAAATCTAATATCAAGGAAATGAGATAGATCAAATATTTGCTGATTTTTGTTAGAAGGAACTTATTTTAATCAAAAAACGTCCATCAGCAATGAAGAATAATCTATGATGTTAGGTTTTCATTTTTGTTATATTTTTATAGACTCAAAATTGGGATGACTTGTTATAGGAGCAAATTTCCAGTTATCAAAAGAGTCCATAGTAAATATTTTATTTATATTTCACATAATATCACTAAATGTGTAATATTTCAGACTACTTGATTTGGCTGAAACTGGGTCTACATGTCTTAGAAGAAACGTCAAAAACATCCTTAAAAAATTACACAAGGAAAATATTATTCGCATGTAAAATAAATCTTTATTCATTAACGTAACTATTAAAAAATTATTATTCATTTATTGCAAATAAATGAATAAATAAATAAATAAATAATCTTCGTTTTTTCCATATTAATTCTGTTTTAAAGGTTTTTTTAAAGGGTTAAGCTTTTCTTTTCTAATCAAGTCATGTACTTCTTTGGAGATTGAGTTTAGTGTCAGAAGGTTCACTGCTAGTGCTACCAACAGACACAGCTGTTGATAGTTGTTGAGTAGCAGTTCCATTTTCTGAAATTGTTGAAGCCGTTGAGGTTGTGAATGGTGATGATGATGAATCTAGTTTTTTTCTTGGAGCTTCAACAAGAGCAG